TAAAAAAAAAAAAAAGAAAAGTTCTTTCCATCCCTTCTAACACAGCAGGTATTCATTAATTTTTCTTCGAGTCTTCTGACATGCTGTAATCCACCTTGGTGCGCATTGACAGTTCATGACCTTAGTTCACGACCAACCTTAGAGATTCCCTTTGTCTCCATTGAGGTGTATCTATTTCTTGGATCACATGTTTTGGCTTTATGATTTACACATTTTATTTGGTGCTTCAGTTCTTCTTCTTTTTTATTAGAACTAAACAGTTTATTGCACTATCTTCTAAATCACATTTATGGTGATTTTCCACAGTAATAGGAATTGTTTAAATATTCTAGAGCATGACATATTACAGAAAGACATTGTGGCATTTTATGAATCCTAGCCTCAAAAGGAGATGCTCTGGGTCCTCAGGTACATTAGTGTTACAGGAGCTTCAGGTTCTTGTCTTCCCCAAATGAAGATGTATTTTGAGAGGCGCAGATGGAGTTTTTGCACAGAGAAATGTTATTAAGAATCTCAAAAAAAAGAGAAAAGAATCTCCAGGGAGAGACACAAAAATCACACCAGTCTCCATGACTGGCTCTCTGATGTTTCTCTGTCCCTGCCCATGTGAAAACGGGCTTTTAGATACTTGTGTGGAAAAGGAAATTTGCCTGGGAATAGCAAGGGTTTTGGGGAAATGTAGTCCCAAGAAATGATAGGAATTCTGCGCATGCTCAGTCCAAATTTTCACCTTCGCTCCCATGCCCTATCGCATTCCCCTCTGAGAAATTTCATGCATATAATTCTTTACGGAATCAGGGGCGAAGGTTTCACTTTCTGTGGCTACGTCCTGTTTTTATGGGGTGTAGTATATTATCATCCTGACTATATGACTAGAAATCTCTTATTTTAAAGGGGGACAAGTTCTTTCAGCTGGACTTGATGCTCTGAGTCAGTCAATCATAGTCACTGGTCAGCAGTCTAGATCCAAGATTTACTGGGCCTGTTCTTTGGGAAAATCCCACCAACAATCACAAGGGTTGTCCTATGGGAAATTGGTGCTAGTATTCCACTTGATATCATTTTAGCGTTGATCAGAGCTTATGTTCATCACCTTGGTCCAAGCCATTCTTTTTCCACACATGAGGCAGCACTGAAAGATAATACTTTCAAAGTTCTAGAAATTCTGATTTAGCCTGTGGGTTCCAACTTTTATAAGTTCACGTCTCCTGAAGCTAGCTGGACTCTAATTAGAGTTGAAGTGAACTTGGGCATGGCTCACATCTCCTTCCTTGGGTAAGATTCCAGTCAGCTCCGCAGGGATGAGGAACAGAGCTGAAGTTCAGCTTCAGTACTTTCTCAGAACAGGTGTATAGGAGTCAAATTTTGAGATCTTGCATGTCTGAAAATGTCATCAATTCTAGTTGAGAGTTTGACCGGTTATAGAATTCTAGGCTGGAAATTAATTTTTCTTCAGAATTTTGGAAGCAGTGGCATCTTTGGGACTCCTTATTCTTCTGCTGAAAATCTCCTAGACCCAGGGAAAGATCAATGGCAAGACCCCTGGAGATGTCTCAGGAATGGGGGGCTTAGGGTTGAGAGACAAGAAGCTCCTCCCAAGAATACAGAAATCTGACAGAAAACGTTCCCCTCGAGCTGTTGCCCCGCAGTCAGATTTCTAAGCTCCCAGGCTGTGAGAGAATAACTTTGTTGAAGTCATCCACTTGTAATATATCCTAGCAGTACTAGATAACTAAAACAAGAAGTCACGTAGAACCATTGAACACTCACTAGCTGTGGGGAGCAAAACCGACAGTGATAGAAAGGAAAAAGTAGCTTAGCTACTAATAGTATTAAGAGAAATGTTCGATGGTTGGCTGCTAAGCATCCAGCAGCAGGCCCGGGCTTTCTGCAGCTGTCCGTCAAAACCCCCCTGAGACCATTGTCCTCTACCTATAGGGACCCTCCGAGTTGGAATCCACTCGAGGGCAGCGAGTTTGGTTTTTGTGTTAGAAAGATCATCTGAGAGTAAAACAGGTTTCAAGTAACTTTATTTTCTGAAAGTCCATCCTACACATAAATTTTTTTCTACTTCTTTAAAAATGAATACAAAGGGGGAAAGGGTGTCTCACATAGGTTCAAAGTCAGCCAAACTCCGCTTTTAAAGTGTTCAGGTCAACAAGAAGAAGTTCTGCACTTGGCCGCTGCCGAACGCTGGCTGTCCAGCAGCGACCAATGATGGTCTCCAGTCTTCGGCCCAGGGCAGAGTCTGTGAAGACAGCATTTGCAAGGGACGGGCGCAGGTTGTGGGCCACCACCGCGTAGAGAATATACTGTCGCTCCCCGGAGTAAGGCACCTCTTTGGTTATCATCTGCCAGAGCGTAATGGCGAACGAGTAGATGTCAGCTTGGGGCGTTATGGACTCTCCTTTCAGGAGCTCTGGGGCCCGGTGTGTGTAGGTGCCGCCCACCGGGTGAAGAACCAGGAAGCCAGTCGGATCTTCCAGTTTCTCCGAGCAGCCAAAGTCCCCAATTTTGCAGACGTCTTGCTCACTGATCAAAATGTTGGCTGGTTTCAGGTCCAAGTGCACGATGTTCCGGGAGTGCAGGAACCTCAGGCCGTTGACCACATCCAGGGAATACTTCAGACACTTCCCCAGACTGAGCTGCCCTCCGGCCGAGCCAGGAGCCGCGCCCTGCTCCTCGTAGATGAGCTGGTGCAACGTGAGGTCGCCTCCGAACTCCATGACGATGGTGCCCAGGCTGTGGGAGCCCGCGGGCGTGCGCGTGCTGGCGGCCACCACGCGCACGATGTTGTCGTGCCGGAGCCTGGCCACGTTGAGCTCGGCCCAGAAACTTCGCTGGGACGCCCGGAGGTTCTTGGTGCGCCTGCTCACTTGTTTTATGGCCACGGGCAGCCCGCGGTAAGTGGCCTTGTAGACGGAGCCGAAGCCCCCGGCGCCCAGCCTTCGCAGGAGGCGCACCTGCGCCCAGTCGATGGCGCACCAGGCCGGACGCCGGGGCAGGCGCGGCGCGCGGGGAGGGGTGCCGCGCGGGGGGCGCGCGCAGGGGCTGCTGCAGGGCCGCCGCGAGTCCCCGCAAGGGGACGGCTCCCCGGCGAGGAGGCGGCGCGCGGGCAGGGGCGAGGGCATTGCGCTGGGCGCGGGAGAGGGCCAGCGGGGAGGACGGAGGAGGGCAGCTCGCGTGGAGAGGCGCGGTCGACGGCCAGCCTTTTGACCCTCCCTCCGCGGTGTTCCCCGCAAAGGGGACACACCTGCGAGGCTCCTCGGCACGGGTGGGGGGCCCGGCCATCGCTGTCAGCTGAAAGCACCCCCCGCCCGCCCCGCGGGTTTCTATAAAACCAGCGCTCACCCTGCGAAATCTCACGATTTCGGGGTTTTTTTAAATAATAAAAAGGGCTTTTAAAGAAAATGTTCGTGGTGATGATTGCACAACTCGTTTGAATAGGTTTTAAGCCCGCCGTTTGATATGTGAATGACCTCCTTGGGGGGATGGACAACGGAAAAGTGGGTGAAGGGAGACATCAGGCAGTGTAAGATATGATACAATAATAATTCATAAATTATCAAGGGTTCATGAGGGAGGGAGGAGCGGGGAGGGAGGGGAAAAAAGAGGAGCTGATGCCAAGGGCTCAAGCAGAAAGCAAATGTTTTGCGAATGATGAGGGTAACGAATGTACAAATGTGCTTTATAAAATTGATGTATATATAGATTGTGATAAGAGTTGTACGAGCCCCCAATAAAATGATTTAAATTAAAAAAATAATAAAATAAAATAAAACGGTTAAAAAAATTTTTTAGAAGTGGGTGGGGGGCGGCGTTGGCTGCCTTTTGCCGGTCGGTTCTTCTGAACGTTATCGGTCCTATAGGTGAAATAGCTTGTCACTTGGCGGGTCCCCACCGGCTGCCCGTGCTGCTCCCCAGCTGCCGTAAATAACTGCCAGCAGAAAGCGTTTGAAGCTCCAAATACGGGGGTGCTTTACGTGTAGTGTTCACAGCGATACATTTTTTAAAAGCTGTCATCTTAAGGGAATCGATCCGAACAGAATCACGAATACAGATGAAAGCGCACCCCTCCTTCGTTCATGGGGAGGGGGATACTCTGACATACTAGCAAAACTTCTCAACATGCATACGCACTTCCTGCCACAATTCAGCACACCTGCAGGTGAGGATCTGACGTCCCAACCAGTACTTTATTGAAGTTGCGAGCAGAGTTGGGCCTGGGGATGGAGAACAACAAAAGACGAGAAGAGTTCAAATCATATACCAAAAGATGGGACAGTCGTCGCCCAGCAAAGTAGGAAGGGCTCCCTAAGGTCTATAAGTTGAACAATAACTAGAACAAGCAACCACATAGACATTCAAAGGGTGTTTGCCTCCCCATAAAGCACTGAAGGCACAAATCCTCTCCTAAGGGGTTGATTCCAACTCATCTGACCCCACAAAGGGTTTCCAAAGCTACCCAGCTCTACAGGAGCAGAGAGCGCTCTTTCTTCTGTGGAGCAGCTGGTGGGTTCTTGAAGTGCTGACCTGCGGTTATCAGGGCAACCCAGCAGCACCACCTGGGCTGCAGAAGAGATGGGTAAAGGCGATGAATGGAAATGTGAAACAGGAGGAAAGGGAATGAATCCTTTGTTTTTCTTTAGGGGACTGCAATCAACATTACAATAATCATGTGTAGGAATTGTTAAATGGAAAAATCAATTTTCTCTAAACTCTCACATCACAATATAAAGATTTTAAAACGTTTCTTTCTCAGCAAACGGCAGTCACCCTGGAAGTAGGATCTATGTCCTTCCCTGACTTTTCTCTCTGAGTGACTAATATATATTAATTGCCATCAACTCAATTTTGACTCGTGGTAACCTTATTTGGGCAGAGTAGCGCTACTCCATAGGGTTTCCAAGGTTGTGACCTTCTGGAAGCAGATGGCCAGGCCTGCCTGCTGAAGTGCCTCTGAATAGGTCCCAGCTGCCAACCTGTCTCCACTAGTAGTTCAGCACTTAACCTGCCTCCACTAGTAGTTAAACACTTAAACATTTGGGCTTCCTAGGGATGTCTTAGTGCATCTGAAGTCCTTATTACATTTTTGCTTAAATTTATTTTGATTTTGTTGCCATGCATGTATGCGCTATATAATAATTTGACTCTCAGAAATGGATAAAGGTAATATTAGGAACTCAGGATTGACTGAAGAAATCAAGATTGGATGTTGCAGCAGAACAATTATAACAGCAGGGGTTGGAAAAACCACACTGGGCAAAGAACCTGCATCAAGATCAGGACTGAGATACATCCGTGTGGGCAAGTTAGCTAACGAAGGGCTGTTATATCATGGCTATGATGAAGAGTATGGGTGTCCTGTTTTAGAGGAAGTTACGGTCATTAATGAGTTAGGAAACCAAATGAAAGAAGGTGGAGTTATTATTGATTACCATGGTTGTGATTTCTTCCCTGAACGCTGGTTTCATCTAGTTTTTGTGCTGAGAACAGACGACAGTGTATTGTGCAAGACGTGAAACAAGGGGTTTTAATGAGAAGAAATTACAAGACAACATGTGTGAACATTTTCAAGTTCTGTTTGAAGAAGCCATGGCATCCTATAAGGAAGAAATAGTTCATTGGCTATCTAGTAACAACCAGAAGATCTAGAGAATAATGTAATTCAAATATTAAGATGGCTTGAACAATGGATGAAAGATCATAGCTCTTGGCTTTCCAGACTAGCCACATGATCGTCACTCTTAGTGAGTTCTCTCTGCCCATCATAGAAATTAGCTAGTAACATTTTCACATTAAAATTGTGTTGCAGGACTAGCAAGTGGAAAGTATCAAAGGCTTATGCCTGGGCTCTTTTTTCTACATGAAAAACAATGAAAAAAACAATTTGAAATATAATGAAGATAACATTATTCAGGGTGGAGAGCAAAGAATGTCATTGTGTAATGCTTCAATTGTTTATTTATTAATTTATTATTAATTGGGAGTTAATACATATATCATTCCACAGTTCAACATAGTTCATTCCATAGTTGACAATTCCATTGTCAAGCAGAATCGTACAATTGCTACCACAATCAGTTTCCAACTGTTAGAGGATAAATAAATCTAAGTGGGTATATATATATCTGCTAAATTTGTTACAAAAGAAAATTAAAAATAAAATTGATGACTTAAAAAAAGAAAGAAACCAGGATTGCTGTGAGGTTTAAAAGTTTCTAATATCTAGCTCAGGTCCTGGTTTGCCATAAGTGTTAAGTGTTAGTTATTACTATCTATAAAGGTAATGAGTAATAACGTATGGGTTTATATATATATGGGTTTATATCAATTATAACACAGATTTTTGTTACACAATTGTGGTAAAAAATATATCCTCCAAGGGCTGAAATAACATATAACTATAAGTTAATTTAAACTTTGTGTATTTTTACTGCTCTAAAATGTTTCCATCTGAGGTGAAAGATGTAAAAGCATATTGCATTTTTTAGCCCTCGAAATATTAAGTGTTAATATCAATCTGATCAAATTCGACAACCCTAAATCCTACCTAGACGCAGACAGAAGAACAGCATTTGCTGCCCTCCCCCGGGGTTGTAAATGAAAGAAGGTAGAGGAAGGTTGTGTAGCTAATGTGCACGTGAAATTCTTTGAGAGACATGTGCTGCTCTTCATGGGAAGGATGACTATTTGGTATTTCACTCGTCATGCAAACAACTGTATGTATCACAAGGTGTTATACTGGACATTAGAATTAATAATTGGTTTATATATGACTTTAATGAAAGGGAAGGAGGAGGAACAGGAGTTGATTAACACTGATAACCCAAATGTGTTAATTGTCCTGGATAACCCAAGGTGTTCCTTGTTTTCAGAGGGGTGAACTGGTCTCAGGTGAGTAGCCAGGTCAATGTGGGTTCTGGGAGTTTTCCCTCTTTGCTGAGGAGTGATTTTTCCTTTCACAGATTGGTCAACCCTGGGAAGTGGGTGGCTTCTGTTCGAGTCAGCAGGAACAGTTGAAATCAGTAACTCACCTGCAGGATGCATAGGTTTCCAAGTCCTTTGGGGGCTTGAGGTTTCTGTGACCTTGTTCCCCCTATTTAATCCTGCCTCCTGTGTGCCTCTCCTCATTCACTGAAAGACCATTTCATGTGTGCCGGATCTGTTTCTTCTCCTTTCTTAGATACCTGAAGCATGTGAGCCAGGCCACCGTCCCTGAGGTTATTTACTTGCCTAATGTTGAATTCCTCCAAGCTGTTCTGCTCCTCTGCTCTTGTGGGCACACAGTAAGTTTTTATTTCAATCCAGAGATATATTTTCTTTTAAGTGACATTGAAAATTAATTTATTTGTTGTTGTTGAGAATATATACAGCAGAACATATACCAGTTCAACCTTTTCAACATGAACAGGTCGGTGGCATTGACTACGTTTTTCAAGTCGTACAACCATTCTTACATCCTTTCCTGTGTTGTTCTTTCCCCATTAATATAAACTCACTGCCTTCTAATTTTTGGCGTTCTTGTCAATTTGATCCACATAGATCTTATAAGAGCACAAGGTACAATGCAGATATTCCTTACTATTAAGTTAAATTTTTGTTTGGTTTTAAGGAGATATTGGGGAAATATTTGGTTTAAAATTTAAAGAGTTGTGACCTCCCTGGGGGACAGACAACAGAAAAGTGGGTAAAGGGAGACATCAGACAGGGCAAGATATGACAAAATAATTTATAAATTATCAAGGGCTCATGAGGGAGGGGGGAGCGGGGAGGGAGGAGAAAAATGAGGACCTAATGCTGGGGGCTTAAGTGGAGAGGAAATGTTTTGAGAATGATGAGGGCAATGAATGTACAAATGTGCTTTACACAATTGATGTGTGTATGGATTGTGATAAGAGTTGTATGAGCCCCTAATAAAATGATTTTTAAAAATGTAAAGAGTATCTCAGGCAATAGTTTTACTAGATTCCATGTTTTGTTTTTAAAAAACTGGGTGCCATCCAGTGCTTCTGGCTTCATGGAGAAGGAGGTAGTTGTTCATTACGGTTCTTAAAATCTCTTCTAAGCCCCTTTTATAACATTGGTATTGTTCTGTGCTGCTAAGTTGATTCCAACTCACAGCAAGCCT